AGGATGCCTGTCGACAGCTGATTGGTCATCGGCGTCCTTCGTGTACGTGTACCAACATAACGTCACCGTACTGACGCATGATCTACCGCCAGATGCTCTCGTTTACGTGGCAACGTACGCAGCCGTCAGATTTGATTGGACCGCGATTCCGCCTCTTCACCGGACACGGTTTTGGCGGATCAATTCGTGGTTTGGTTCGCCCGCTAGCGGTGTCGCTTTGATGTGCGTGCTTTGGCTCGTCGAGGTGCGACGCGCGTGTCAATCATAGGTCGACGGTCAACGTATGGATGACGTGGATATTTGTAGGATCAAATATTTATATCAAATTGAATCTCATCGATTTTATGGACGAAAATACTGTATCTACTGTCATGCTTAAAAATAATATTAAAATAAAATTTTAAAAATAATTTTATAGAGAAAATATTGTAGAAGGAGATAAGATATCCTTTCTATTAATATCTCACTTATTTTTTTAATAAAATCTTCGAAAACACAAAAAGAAAAGATGAAACAATTGAATGGCATAATCTTATTTCGTTTCCCAACAAAACTTATTTCTCTTTTAATTTTTAATCATATAAAAAAAATTATTCTATTTCAGTAACTGTCACGTGACAATACGTATTGTATTTTCGTCAACAAAATCGATAACATAAAAAAAATATATGATTAATTTTATTTTTATATAAATATTAAAAAAATATTAATATAATTATTAAAAATAATAAAATATTTTATTATAAGAGATAATAAGTCCCTCAAAATGAAGTGGCCCTCCAAACCAACAGGAGATGACATGACACTTGTTATTGCGAAAGGACAAATCTGATGCTTCCGCGTCTCGTAGGGTTAGACCTCGAGAGACGACGACACATGCGATGGCAAGAGAAAGCTAATGTGGAGATCTAACCAGCAGATAGCAGCCGATGATGCAGTGGTGATGGCGACGAGAATCGCGACGTGGGAACTTTTGGTGGTGTGGAAAATGGATACATCGAGCTTCTTTTGTTCTGATCATGAAAAGTTCATGGAAACTTGGTCCTTTTTTATGCCTTTTTGTTTTGTCCTCTTAATTAGACTGATAAGGTGTTGTGACATGAACAGAACATAATCGAATAAACATTGACCGGAGGGAGGTGATCACCTCAATCAGTCCTTTAAGGACCATGTGATTTAATGTTCTTTATGTCTCGAGTGGGGCAGAAAATATCGGTGATTAATTATCATTAGGTGTCAAAAATCAAAAGAACATTTTAAAAGTAATAATATAAAAATATATTAAAAATTAACATAAAAAATAAATATGATAACTTTCTTTCATGTCTAATAGTAAACTCAAATCTAAATTGTCTACTCTCTTCCTTTCACTAAGTGAAAACCTTATGACTCTTTTCGAATTAATTAAAATCTAATTACAACTCTAAACATATATGTGGATTTGCCAAGTCATGGAGAAACTCAATTGTCTCCGAAAAAGAATAGTTATTTTGAAAGTAAAGAATATGGTCGATAAGTATTTTCTGGATTTTATAAGTGAAAAGATAAAAACGAAAAAGTTTACATCAAGAATGAGGAATGCAAGTTCTAAAAGAGTTTGGTTCGAATGAAAAAAAAAATTATAAAAAAACAACGACTAATTGCTCTATAGAATATAAATATTTTTTTTATGAAAAATTTATGTGACATAAACGACAAGAAACTCAAACTTTTAGTGTATAAATTAATTAATTAATTAACAAGCAAAAAAAAAAAAAGGATGATTAACAATAGATTCATGTCATGTCATGCATCAAAAACGTAGATAGCATGAGTTCATGATTTGAGTTATCGACGTGGTATAAATTCTTAGCGTTAATTTATATGTTTCTTGATGATTTTAAACATAATCTATGCCACATTTATTTACACGATGAAAATTGTCCACATAGAGCAAATCGTAGGCACTTCGTTTTCTTCATTTTTTTTCTTTGGCAAAAATAGAGGAGAGTCGTAAGTCAACGCAAAAGCAAGTCTTCTAAGTCAACTGTTGTACTCTAACAAAGGAGAGTCGTAAGCAGTATGACGTACCCACCCACTTTGCGTCACCAAACGATGAGTTTGGATCTTTCCTAACTTTACGAGGATCCAATGCGTAATCGAACCTAATCTTACACCAATCGAAGAGAAGAAACGAAAGAGAATTGGACATGTAGAAGAGTCGAATCGCTATCAAAACCATGTCAATATGATGAATTGCCAAGCATAGTTAGTGTGTGGATGCAATCGAAGGTTTTGAAAGATCCAATTGACTTGAGAAGCTCAAAGACTCAAGCTTGTGTTCACATAGTTGTCCTTTAAATCCAATTTGACATCTTCTTTCTAATTATTCTATACAAATAATAATAATAATAATAATTAATTACAATGTCGGACCTCAAATTGATTGTGATGACAGAATTATGTATACAAAAAAGAAGACAATACTAAACAAATGAGACATCATAGTCAATCTTTAGCATTGTAGTAGGTCTAGTGGCTCCTTCAAGATCACCACAGGTTTGACCTATCAACCTATAGACGAGACTTCAAAGTTGTTAATTGAATCGCTTCGAGATATAATACACATCATGATTGAAGGTCACTGTCAACTTATCGCAATGCTTCCATTGACTCCCGATCCCGGGTGAATGGCTTCTGTGTTCTTTCCTATCCCAACTTGTCGTGGATAGACGCATGAGAGATGTGCACCAAGTTACAGTCTGCTTTGAATTGATGACATGCAGAAGCTGACGTCTGGTTGGTGATGCAGCGTCTCCTACCTCACCATTTCTGCACAACTTCCTGTGAGTCTCCATCTTCTTTGTATAAGAACACTCCTCTCCTTACACCTGTTGGATATCTTCTGTTTGGGTTCTGATGGATTCGAGGTGGGCGACTCTCAGCCTTGACCTCGGCGTCGGCCTTCTTCCGTCTCCTGGCCAAGCTTCGGTGAGTTTTAGCTTGCATGGCCAATGATCTGCTCGATCTAGGGAAGCTGAATGCATAAACATTATGCAGAGAGAGCGTGGATCAGTGCTGGTCGAAGGGAGTTCTTCGAGAAAAGAAGAGGCTCGTTTGGCGAGCACACAGTTTGGAGATTTAGAAGCCGAGCTGAACCGGATCAGTGAAGAGAACAAGAGGCTTAGTGAGATGGTCAGCAACATGCTCACGGACTGCGTTGCTCTAAGCGGCGGCGTGCCTGCGTTGCCGAAGAGGAAGAGGATCGAGACGAACACGCCAGGTGACGACGACCCATGCAAAAGAGTGAGAGCAGATCCCGTGCCCAACGCCTCGAAGGCCTACGTTCGGATCGACCCGAAGAACACGAGCTTGGTGAGTTCCATCGATCGATGATCGACGTCGCAAATGAAAGGAGCATTGATCAGGTGGTGTTTTGGCGTTGTCAGGTGGTGAAGGACGGATACCAGTGGAGGAAGTATGGTCAGAAGGTGACGAGAGACAACCCATTCCCCAGAGCTTACTTCAGATGCTCCTTTGCTCCTTCATGTCCTGTGAAGAAGAAGGTACAGAAAGATCGACCTTACTCATGTCCCATACGACAGACCGACTCACTTGCTGTGTTGGATTCATTAGGTGCAAAGGAGTTCGGAAGACGGATCGATCTTGGTGGCCACATATGAAGGCGAGCATAACCACAAACACCTTGCGCAGGACGAACTCTACGTCGGAGGAATCCCGTGCCGGCCATTGCAGCAGCGATTCGGAAACCAGGAATCGCCGGGGTTTCACAGGATCCTGGTGGACCAGATGGCCTCGTCGTTGACGAAGGATCCAAGCTTCACGGCTGCTATCGCTGCCGCCATATCCGAGAGACTTCTGCAACAGACACCGGTTCCGAACTAGGCGTGCGAACGAGTACTCAGTATCCTTCCTTCCTCGCGCTCCCAATACAACTTCATTTCATATAGGATCGGGTGGATGTAATCGAGATTCCAACTTGTATATTGCTCATGCAACTTTATATATATATATATATATATATATATATATATATGTGTGTGTGTGTGTGTGTGTGTTGTGCCCATTGAACATATGTTACCTACTGAAATATTTAGGACACGAGATTTGTCAGTCAAAGAGAACGTTAGTTCATTGGTTAGATCCACATTAGCTAATGAGATTTTATCAAAAATAATTTAAGAAATATTTATTTGAATGTTCTTAATTTAACAACATGTAATGATCGATCGAAAAAGATCTATATGATCGACCCCAAATAATTGAGACATTGTTTTTCGTTATTGAACTTGAATTCATCCCGATAAGCATTGGTGTTTGTTAAGTGTGATAGCAGTAACAAAGTTGGAATGGTAACCATATAATTTAGGAACTAAAAAAATAGATGTGTTTCCTTGTATATTTGTTGATATTAGAGAAACGTATAAGAATAATACATTTTCCTTCTAACCGAGCTTAGAATACTATAATAGTTTACTATAAACAAACAACTATATACATACGTATATATACATACATTATCCACATTGCCAAGCAAATTAAACCAAAGCCATGTCTTAGTCTTCTATATCACAGCAATGGACAATAAGCCTACTTCATATAAGTCTTGTTTCTAATTATATTTTATTCTAGCACTCGAAAAAGATAGATTAAGACTAAATAGATGCACTGGCGATGATTTAAATATTGTGAAGTATTTTGGATGACATCGTTATATCGAGCTAGTGACTCAATTGTCTCATTTGATCCGAGCGAGATAAATAATATCAGAGCCGACCTAGTAAAAGTGGATTGATGATACCAAAATCCTAGGTCTAGAACTGATTTTAAACAACTAAAAATAATAATAAAAGGACTTATCGGATTAGAAGAACTAATCAAATCGATTGATAGTATCCAAATATCGACGAAGAATGACTTCCAAACAACTTCAAGAAAAGAATAGATGAACTTATCCAATCGAAAGAGTTAACCAACTAAAATAACATATCAAGTAGCGATGAGTTAATAATCACTGTTGCATTAAGTCTCACCTGAAAACCCAACAAATCAAAATCATTCTAGTGTTAAGAACTTGAAACCCTATCTTCCCCCTCAAACCGACAATAAATAAAGTCATCACTCCCAAGCCAATAATAGACTAACGCACTACATCTTACTCGACTTCCACTACCAAACACTTTCCGCTCCACATCTCCTTTAGTTTATCACCACCACCATCATTCCTTGCCCCCTCACCACATTCTCCTCCAACCCCACCACTGTATTATATTGATTTATCTACTGCAAAATCCCATCCATCTACATGAAAACGACAAGCTTCCAATGAAATCAAATGGAAAGGCATGCTTGTGAATGATGAGGAAAGAGAAAGCAAAGTAAAGTCGATAACAGATAGACATGAAGGAAAGGGAAAAGCTAATGGAGGATGAAGATACCCAAAAGAGAGAGCTTTGACGTGGGCCTTCCTCATCTCAAGGAATGGCGGCTCCGTCCTTGCTCCCGGCCGGCCATGGGGCGTCGGCTTCCGTGCCGCTGCCGTTAGTGGACTGCACTGTCAGCGCGGAGATGGTCGGCGATGCAGGTGCGTCGCCAGCTGCATGATGCGTCGGGCGGTTGAGCTGACCGAGGCAGCCGGAGCCAGGAGGCCGGGGATGGCAGGCGGCGGCCGAGGAGATCGCCGAGACGAGGGAGATGGGTATGAGGCAGAGACCTTTCCCCTGGAGGTACTGCATCGCCGACCCCATGTCCTCCTCCATCAGCTTCGCCACCTGGTGCTCCGCCACCGTCATGCTGCCGTCGTCGCCGCCCACCACGCCATCGACTGCCGCCCCGTTCTGCCACCACGTTAGAACATTTACTCCGATTGCTATACATGAGTGCCATGCACAGTCTCCGTCAAGATGCAGCGAACGAATACCTCTGAAGACATATCAGCCACGAGGGGCGCAACCGCCGCCGCTCCGCCCAACCTGCTCATGCTCAAGACCTGTGTGTTACCGATGCATGTAAATTGCTATTAGTATTCCGTACACAATAAAGCAGCAACATACTCCTTAAACAGTCATCTGAGAACCACATAGTGGCAGCACTTGCACGATCACTGTACTGTGTGCAAATCTAGCATATCAATAAAAGCATCAGCCAATGGCTAACTACGTTAATGTATCAGTCTCCATGAAAGAACAATGACGAAGTATCAGCCAAGGAAAACTTTTGAGGCATTGTAAGGAGGGAGGGAAGTTTTTGCCTTGACTTGGAGCTGGAGGAACTTGACGTAGTCGATGATCTCATCCAGCATCAATGCCTTGTCCGTCTGCAGTGAAAATTATAACGCAAGGTTTACTGACAAGTTTGGAAGGCAATTGCTGGGGAACTTGACTGGTAGAGAACACTAAAAATGCATGGATATTCAGCACACATTCCTCTTACTTCTATTTGACGTTTTAACTTGACTATATAAATCTTTTTCATGTTTGTAGTCATTGTTAGATGATCTACATTGTCCACTTCTGGATTAGGTAGATTCAGCAGTTAAAATATGGCATCTTGTTCTTCCAAGGAGTAGAAATCTGCATAGTCGGCTTCCAGATGAGGTAGATATAGCAGTGAAAGACAGCATCCAAAGAGTAGACATGGCATCTTTTTCTTCCAAAGAGTAGAGATCTACATTGTCCACTTCTAGATAAGATAGATGTAGCAGTTAAAACATTGGCATCTCTTTCTTCCATGACATTGCCATTTCCAGATGAGTTAGACGCAGCATTTAAAAGATGGCATCTTGTTCTTCCAAAGAGTACAAATCTACATTCTACACTGTCCACTTCTAGATAAGTTAGATTAAGCAGTTAAAAGATGGCAGGTTCTTCTTCTTCCAAGTACTAGAAATCTACATTGTCCACTTCTGAATATGGTAGATGTAGTTGTTAAAGATGGAATCTTGTTTCTCCAACAAGGACAAATTACATAAGGTGAACAAGTATCATAATGTAAGATTATTAGTTTGCTCACGAAAGGAGTATAGGAGGGAGAAGGGAACGAAGGGGATGGTGCGAACCTTATTGCCGTTGGGCACCAACTCCTGCAGGGCTTTCATCCTCTCCGCGATTCTCTCCCTCCGAAGCTGTGCCACAGGAAGCAAACAGAGTCCAACAAGAAGACAAATCAGCTAAAACAGGGTACTGAAGACAAAGAGTTTAGAACAGAGAATGGATGAACGCAGCCAAGAAGAGTCCAAAGTTTGGAACAGAGAATAAAAGACAGGAAAAACCAAAGAGCATTGAGGAGGAATTGTTCCCCAAAAATTCCATTTTTCGCATGGAAAAGCGATGAGACTTACTCTTTCAGCAATGCTATGTGGATCCGTCGCCTGCCCTCGCCTCGCCCTCACCCTCGGCCTCGGCGGCGCCGTGACCCCGCAAGCGGGTGCCGAAGCTGCCGCCGTCCCCGTCCTGGTGCCCTGCCCCATCCCGTAGTTCTGACACGGTTTGGAATTCGGTTAATTCCCAACTTCCCCCAAAAAAAGAGTCTCCTTTTTTGGTCTACAACAGAGAGAAATGATGGTTCATGAAACCTGGGGATGATGGAGAAGCTGCTGCTGGGTAGGCGCTTGAATCGCCCGCTGGAGCGATCCCCCGAATCCATTGCTGTAAAGCCCCTCCGCCTCCTTCCGTGCATTAAAGATCGAGTTTTCAGCAGGAAAGGGAGTGTTTTTTTCCCCCCTCTTTTTATCGCTATTAAAGGAGATTAGGAAGTCGTGGAGAGCGTACGGTGAGATGGGGGGATTTGAAGGGCGCATCGACTTCGTCTCGGGATCTGTCGACGAGGAGGCCGGAATCCCCGGAACCGCCGCTCCCGAGGGAGAGCGGCAGCGGAAGAAAGCCCCTCGAATCTCCACCGCCGGCCGCCGGCGGTTGCGCGATCGACTGAAGGAGCAACTGCTGCTGCGCCTGGTGGTGACTGTGCTGACCCAGCTGCAGCAGCATCGACGTCTCCGTCAGCGAGCCCCCACCTCTGCTGGCCTCCTGCTGCCGGAGCCGCGAGGCCAGCAGCGAGGACTCGTCGTAGGGCACGTAGCGCACTCCCTCTGCCGCCGACGCCACCTCCGGCGCCTTCCCACCGACGCCAGCCCCGAAGAGCAACTTGGGGTCCCCCAGCCCCGGCGGCCAGGCGGGGGCGAGGCCGGAGATCATCTGATCGAAGAAGTCGTCGCGGCCGGCGCCGCCTCCGCCGTTCTGGAGCTCCTGGAGAGCGACGTGTGGCGCCGCCATCCCCTGCACGTCCTTGCCGCTCCGTTGCATCACCTCCGTCACCGAATCTAGGGGTAGGGATAGGGTTTCGCTCTGTTTCGTCTCTCTCGATGGTGCGCGCGCGCGGGAGGAGGAAGGGAAGACGGCCGTTTCGTGGTGCGTTTCGTGCTTATGAATCCACAGTTAAGCTAAGCTAACTAGGCGGCTAATGCGATCGCAGTTACCGGCGTTGCTTCGTCGCAGTCGACTCAAGCTTAGTTGAAGTAGCTACCTCATAATTGATTGTGGTGAAAGATGTCATTTCATAGGTAAATTATCTATTAATAGTCACATTTTGGGTTAAGCAGTTTATAAATATTTTAATATTAATACTCATTATTTTCATAGCTCGTCAAATTGATAGCTGTTTATAAAATTTAGGCCAATGGTATTGCATTCCAAAAAAAAAATGAATTTTTCTCAATCAGTCCTTTACAAGCAGATTAACTTCCTTTTCAATGTAAAGATTTATAAATTCTTTTAATTTATAAAAAACATTATTAGGCTAATAATATATATATATATATATATATATATATATATATATATATATTGTAAGAAAAATAAAATTAG